TACTAAATCGGGTATAATGAAGCTATGTAAATGAAGTAATCATAAGTTTGAACAGGTTTATCATATACTGAAAAAGTGTATCTCTTTTATTAACAATTCCATTCATTTTTCCATAATCGATCAAAATCGATTTGTAGCTTCGCCTTTTCTGGCACAGCTTCACACCAAATTTGAACTACAGACTCTTCTTGCTAGTCTAAAATCAAATTGCATGTACTGGGTATCCCATAGTCGGGCAAGCTCGCCTCCAGCACTCTTGCTGGATTATATTTATTTACTTTTATTCGTTGCTCGTTGTCGGCGCTCGCCTCGCAGCTTTGGTGGCATCTTTTTGGCTGGTATCGTTTTACGCTTTGCGGTTGCAACTTGCAACTCCTGTGGATGCAACAGCTGCGCTTGGAGTCGCCACAAGTGCTGGGCAAATGTATCTGCGGCTGCCGCCGCCGCTTGCGAGTATTTTGTGTATATTTGTATCTTTTGGCATATGTGGCAACTTGCGGCGCGTTTGCAGGCTGACATCTATTGTGGCCCGCTTGACTTTTGAGCATTACGTAAGCGCAGCTCTCAATGCACTTGGCTATGTGGCGCCCCTCCGCCCGCCGCTCCCCACCCGCTTCTACCCAACCGCCAGCTGCAACTGTGCCACACGCGCGCGCTCTTTGAATGACTGCCGGCGACTTGAAGTTGTGACTGCAACTACTGTGCAGAGTAGAGTAGAGTATGAGTACAGTGTGTGTGTTGTCTGTGTAGTTTTTGGATCGGGAATGAAGTGCAGCGCTCTGTTTGACACTTGCAGCTGTCAACGCGGCTCTGATTGATCGATTGCAAGCGTGTGTGTGTGTGCGAGTGTGTGGGTGGGTGGAGAAGGTTGCAGCAATGATTAACTGGGCCAAAACAAACATTTTAAAAAGTAACAAAATAAAATTATTGATCAAGAGTTTATTGAGTAGGAAAAAATCATATTTTTTTTAATTGTAGCAAAGTTTAGTAAACGATTAACAAGAGAAACGAATTCTTCCAAAGTTATTAAATCTTTGCATTCTTATTAGGTATTAATCTTCAATTTTTCTATTCTTATAAATGAAATAATAAATACTAATAGTAATATCAATAAATAATAGGAATAGTAATAAACATAAGATTACAAATCTCATTAAAAACAATAGAAAGAATTAGGCGAAAGTTCTTGACGAATTTCGTCTCAATAATAAAGTGAAATCAAGTCCTGCTTAAAAACTTATGACTATGCGAGTATTTCATCTCGAAAAAGACGACTTGCTCTCAACTTTTATTAGGATGGACCCATTTTGAATAGATTTTCTAAAACTCGCAAAACTCGAAAATGTATATTCATCCGCCATCTCAGTGTAGCAAAAATCTAATTGAACTTAAAATTTAATCTAAGACATGATTGAAAGAGTAGCTGCAATAAGGTATTGTATTTTATTGAATATTATCCCATAATAGAAGTCTTTGGCGATCTTTGAACTCTATTTGAAATCTTCACTTGAATAAATTGCCAGCTGATACAATTTGTGTGCCTCCCGCTGAAAATGGAATTCTTTGAGTTTCAATGAAATTCTTAGCATTTAAATGGAATTCTTTGATTGTAATTTTTTAAATTTTGAGGCAATGTAATTTTCTTCGTCAATGTATTTTAACTACGTTCCAGCTTATAACTTAATCACTACGTAAATTGAAAACTTCGGTACTATTTCTATATTCGTTGCAGGGCCCTCAAATATTGATTTTTTTTTTTAAATAAAATTTCCCAGTTCATATTTAATTCATACTCCATTGTTCAATATACTTTTTGTCTCAAATTAACGACACTTGTAATATATTTGAACTGCAGGCAGCTCAACTAATGACATTCCCTACTTTCAGACTGATTGATGAGCTTCCTAAGAGGTGCTCTTCGACTGTCCAGCTGAAAATATAAACAACTGCGTTCTATTTTTATCAATATGAAAAGATTGTGGCACGTTCTTTGTATTCATTTGGTTACGTAAGAATCTATATATTCGAAGTAGAAATTTATTTAAGCCTCTTTCTATTGATAATAGAAATTCATATTTTAATCAAAGAGAATTATTTTCTTCATATACATTATAAAAAATCAAATAATAATTAGAGAATTCCGTTATTAACAATATTATTTTGTGGAAAAGAAATTTTCTAAGTTGAAATTTCTGTACGCCACATGTCCCATTTTTGTAAGCCTTTTCCCGTGATAATAGAAGTTAATGTTTTTATCAAAGAATACTCTTTTTTTGTTAAGTGAAAAAAAGAAAATTATCAGATAATTCCGTTTATTAAAATATTAATATTATAAAAATTTTCCCTCTGGGAACTCTTTCACTCAACTTGTGCTATATTTTTTTTTATTTAACCCTCTTTCTGTTGATAATAGAAATGCATGGAAATGCAAAGATAACTATTTTCTATTTTATTTAGGAACAATGAAATGATAATCAAATTATTTCGTTTAGTTGAATATATGTAAATAGAACTTTCTGACTGGAAACTTTTGCATGCGACATGCGAAAGTTTGAACTTAATTTGCCCCATTATTAGTTTTCTTCAACACTTTTTCTGTCAGTGCAGCAGTTAATGCTGCACTTGATAGCATTTATCTATCAATTTTGTTGGCCAACAGCAAACGGCAACTTGTTAGCCAACTGCAAAGCCATGTTCCGAGCTGCCGCCCCCTTTCCCACCCCCCCCCCCCCCCTTTTTTTGACCTCATTCACAAGCAAAAAGTTTCCTTGGAAGAAGCGAGCGCTCCACACGAAATTAATTTAAATTTATTGTCTCAATTTATAATGCTGCAAATTGAGCATTTGCCAAAAATAAACGTTGACAGCGCACAGTCGAGCATAGTTCAATGTATCTTTTGGGTACGGGTACCCCCCCCTACTGCTTACCTCCTTCCCTCCCTCCCCTTCACATCCCATTGAACTTGAACTTGCAGCTTTTTCCAAATTGTTTGGCCAAAGTCAAAGTCTTTGATGCCCGACTCCCAATTGTATCTATGCGATAGTTATTACAAACTTTGCCGTCGCATAAGTTTTATAGTGTAAGTTTGAAGTTTTTTAAAGTGGAGCCCCCCCCTCCCACACCCATCCCCCCTGCGCAGCACAGCTCGTTAGATTCAAACCCGAGCTTCGAAGTTCGCAAACGCAGCCGGCAAATTGAGTGCACACAGTCGGGCAGACGTTTGTCATTTGTCTGCTGTCATGTCAGTTGTCAGTTTGATTTTTTGACTTTATACGTTTTTGTTTTTGTTTTTGTTTTTTTTATGGTTATTTTAAATTGTAACAACTGCTATGACGACGTCCACGACGACAGCAGCGATGGACTACGAGAATAAAAAACAAATATATGTATATAAAAAAAAAAAAAATGCCAAAAGACAAACAAAAGACAAATTGTGCGCTCTCCGAGCGCGTGTTGACAATTTTTTATAGATTTTTCGACGCGCTACATGTGCAATTTGTGATCGGGGTATATTAGCTTTTAACTAACTATTGTAACTCGGGAATTGTTCGTGCTACAGCTGCGAAAATGGAAATTAAGGTACAACTATAGAGCACAAATTTAATTTTAATTGAATAAGTTATCTTGTAATATTTTAACATAAGTATAGGTTTAATGAGAGTAATGTTTTTAAAAAAAAGTATAGTTTTTTTGCAAGTGTATGTAAAAGGCAGAAGGAAGCATCTTCGACCCAAAAAAATATATAAACTCTTGATCAGCATCAATAGCCGAGTTTATCTAGCCATTTTTAACTTTTTTTAATTCTATAGTAAACCAGCGCGTAGCTCGATCCACATTTGTCGCTGGAAGAAAAACGTTTAGGGTATCCCTAGCTGAGCACTCCCAAATAGAGCACTCTTACTTGTTTTTATTACAATTTCATTGTTTATATAAATTTATATAATGATATAAAATCTTATTCTAGACATTAATATATTATAGTTATTTATAAACTGCGAAAGTATCCATACATTAATATTTGTAATCCTTATAAGTTTATATATAAAATTAATACTCTCTTAAAAATCTCTTATGTTGCACATAAATTATATAGGGCATCTGTTAGTTGGAGTATTTCCCGTTTCTATGATTGGTTTCGTATATTTTTCCGTTTGACACACGAGCTCTGTGCCACATTTTTACAGCAGTTGACGTCTGAGCACTTTATCTTAATGTCAATTTTTTTTTGTTTCTTTTGCCGTTCTGCTTTTTATTCCTTGACTTCAGATTGGGTTTTGGGTTGCGGGTTCGGTATTGGAATCGGGCGGTCCGTTTGGACCGTTTGGTGCGTGTTGTGCGTGAAGCAGTTAAAAACGTTCAGGCAAATTAACAATAAAAAAGCCATTTGTAAGTCAAGTTCGGGCCACGTTCTATCGAGTTGTCAAAATCACGACATCGTCTCGTTAATGGCGCTTAGAGTTTAGCTGCGAGATAAACTGGCGCTAGGATTTGTATTTACATATATATTAGGTGGCTTAAGGGACTGTGACTCATCAACTTGGAGCTGGGATTAACTGCACTGTAAAAAATTGTTGGCATGCATTTAATTTCGTTTGATATTTTTGAAATTCAAATTATATTTGGCTTAAATTGCCAGCTAAAGGAATTAATCCTTAAGTATTTACAATTTAATGCCGTTTCTTTATTTTATTACTCTTGGTTTTCGCTGCCAAATTTTAGGCTCAGTTGACAAGAGTGACTCAGTGCTTGACAAAAGAGAAAACCCCAGTTCAAACCCAGCACCATATCTATATAATTAAAACTAATATTATTTTAATTCGTTTATTTATCACAAAATAAATTATATGTTAGTCCAATTTGCTTTAAATTGAAAACCAATTAGGGAACAATTTCTTTTTGAATTTAAGACCCAAATATTTTTTACTGTGCATAGTCACACTTAAGCTTTAAATGCAGCCACTTTGAACACATTTGACTCATTTGTGTTTGGTCTGTTGCAGTACGACAACGTCAACTCGTGCCTGCACGTGCTGAGGAGTCAATCGGTGGGCGGCTTGGACAATATCACAACCAACGACATCTGCGCGGGTCGCCTGAAGGCTGTTCTAGCCCTGTTCTTTGCCTTGAGCCGCTACAAGCAGCAGGCGAAGCAAACCAAATCCATTGGCGTGGGCTGTGGCGGTGGCGGTGGCTCTGGTGCAGTTGGCTCTGGAGGCGGTGGCTCCGTTTTGGGCATTGGCCTTGGTGGCAGCTTGAGAGCATCTGCCGCAAGTAATTTGCAGCAGGAGCAACAGCAACAGCAGCAGCAGCAGCAACAACAGCAGCAACAACAAACGCCACAGCAGTTGGCTCAATCCTTGGAGAACGGCAATGAGATGGTGAATCGGTGAGTGCACTTTTTATTTATTTAATTTATATCTTATATATCTTTCATCTATAAAAAATTCAAAATGTAACCGACAAATTGACAAACGTCTGCATTGTGTGACAGAGCAGCCAGCTTTTATTTGCCAGCATTTGTCTTGCCACTGTGCTACGGTTGGTGTCTAGACTAAAACATTGAACACCGCTGTTTGCAAAGTTATGCGGTCAACAACTGCCTGTTGGAGTGTGTCTAGGCTAACAGCTCTAGTCTTTACTATTTACTCCACCTGTTAACATTTACTGTTATACAGTTAATTTACTATAACTGTAATATGACACAGTGAGCGCTTGATATAAAAGCCAAAGCAGTCAGCTATTGAACTAAATGTTGTTGTTATTAACAAATTTTTTCTGCTATGAGAGTTGCCACAGATGAAAGAACAAAACACAATTCGAAAATTTTCTTTCGTTGAAACTTCAAATTTAATTAACTTGTTTTTCGTTGTCTTATTAAAAGTCAAAGAGCGGATAGCTTTTTTTGGTCATCAGCAAATGTTTGAAAATTTTTAATCTGATTTTTGGATATTAAAATTAATTGAACTACACTAACTGTATTCCATATTTGTGAAGTAGTATGTAATACATTTTCTGTGGAATTTCTATCGGATTTTTATAATTTTAATTGCGAGTGAGGAGTTTATTGCGCTTAACATAAGCCAGTTAAGCTTAACATATGTTAGATTTTACATAAAAATGTTAGACTATCTGCTGGCAGTGTATTGAATGACTTTCAGTTTAATAATCCCAACAAACGATTTTTAACATGAAAGAAATTTTATTCTCCAGCTGATCTTTCATATTAAATACCGTAAATCCTAAATACACAGCAGCGCGTTTTTAAGCACGCCATTCTCTAAATTCCAAGCGGTTTTTTCCCAGCCTCCCTAGTCAAATGCAAGCCCGCACCCTCTGCTTAACCTCAAACAGAGCTCATATCAAATGGAAATGTCTCAGATTTCCTTTGCATTTGGCTTACACCGTCATAAGACTTCCGGTACGCAGTTTTTCTGCTTCTTCTACAAAATTCCAGGCAAGTTTAATATGATTTATTGGTTTGTTTGCCGGAAATTACAGGCGATTCGCTCAGCGTCGTAGATCCCATCCCCTCCCCGGAGCATCTGTACCCAAGTAGTCGTAAAAAAAAGAAGAAGGAAACTCCAACTTCTGCTCCACCAAAGCTGAGACACTAAGCAAACAAAATTGGCATACGACGAGAGGAAAATCTGTGGTGTGTGGGGAGGGGAAAATGTGTGTTGAGCTCTTGAAAAGCAGCTGAAAAATTCAAAACATGAAGATGGAAAATTAGAAAACTTTATTTGGTCGAGAAAAAAGCCAGAAAAGCGTTTGTGTCGTCTGCGTCTCGGGAGGGTTCTTGCTTCTGTTTGCAACCCTCGGGGAAATCCCAGCCGAGCAGACAGGAAACGGAAGCTTTTGTGTTGCGCTACCATAAAGCGAGAGAGGAAGGGGGGGCCGAGAGGGCATAGACCAGTTGCCGTTTAACTTTCGGTTGGGGCGAACCCAAACACCAGCCCGCCCGCCCCTGCCTACAGCCATGTGTTGATGACTTTCACTGACTATGAAATTTAAATGCGTAACGGAAATGTTTGCAGTTTTTTTTTCTCTTCCTTCCCTCATTTTTGGTTGAGGGGCGCGTTGACTAGCAGACAAATAAATTACAATGGATTTTTATGGTCGTCCTTGCGCCTAGTTTGTGGTAGGCAACAGGGCGACAGGACGACAGGCCGACGACAACAATGCGGCAAGTTCATTTAAAGTTGCAACACCATAAAACTTTCACTCTGTCTGTGTATACCCTAGCTGTGGCTACCTAAATTTTGTCGCGAAGTGCGGAACACATTATGATAATTTATTTACCATTATAAATATAATTATTTCGGTGAAGTTGAGTCGTAATCGCAACACCTTGCAGCTTCATTCCTCACAGCCATGCCAAGGATTGAGTTTTGTTAAATGATAGCTATAAAATGCAAGATACTGCAAGATTTGTATATACTACACTAGAATTGGGGACTCAAATTTGCTGACTCTAGCTCTTAAAACCTAAAAGGTTTTGCTTTAAAACAGGAATTTTTATATCGATTTTTATCGATTGCTTGAAAATGGGGCAAGTTATTGATAATCGGAGACAAATTCGTACTGTGCGAGCACTAAGAGAAACTATGTTCAAAACGTCAATTCTTTCTCTTATAATTTGTGAGATCGACGTGCTCATACTTACACACGGACGGACAGATAGACAGACGGACAGACAGACAGACAGACAGGCAGAAGGACATGGTTAGATCAACTCTGCGATTGATGCTGATCATGAATATATATTCTTTATGGAGTCGGAGATGCTTCCTTCTGCTTGTTACATACATTTGCACAAAAACATTATACCCTTTTTTAGCCAACTCCCATTGTTTAGGATATAAAAATGTAAAGTTTTTATATTAGCTGTTATTTATGGTTTTAAAATAAAAAATAATGCTGCATAATTTTCCAAGGACTTTTCCATACAAGCTATAATATAAAACGTAAGCTGAAATAATGCTACTTAAAATAATAATTTTATCGTATAACAATTGGTTTGCATTATTTTCCATAGACTTATCCCAAAAAGGAAATAATATAAAAACATTTATCCGTTTTTAAGCTCACATTTTATGTGCAAACTGTAATTAAACATTCGAACAAAAATTAAGCAAAATTGAAGTAAGGGTATTTAATATTCTTTAGTACGTTCCATTATAATTTTCAGGAATTGTGCGTTGTTTATAATGTCTGCGGTCTGGCGACCTAGACACTGAAACCGAGCGCTGTCCAGCCTTGTTCAGGCACCAGCTGCGGAAAAGCAACCCCCAAAAATATATATATGAAAAGCGAACCATTAGCGAAATATGCGAGCTAAAAAGTGGGGAGTGGAAAGTGTGGAGTTGCTGGCAGTAGGGGGGCCTTTGGGGGCACATGGAAAATTCAAGAGCATTTTTAGCGACAAGCAACGAGTCGAGCAGCTGGTGCAAACATTTTGTAAAGTTTGCCGCGTGCGGCATTTACTGCAGCAATTCGCAAGTTTTCGGTGGCTGGCACTGATTTGGCCTGGCTGCCACTTGCCACTTGCCACTAGCTGGCAACATGTTGCGCTCCATGCATATAATTAAAAAATTGTCAGGGGGCAAGTCCTGGCAAGTCCTGGGCAAGTTCCTGCTCAAGACTTCAACGGCAGCTGATGACATTTCCAAGCCGAAAGCTGGAGCCGGAAACGAGCCATTTATAACTGCAAATTGCGCGCGCCAGACATTGCAACAATATGTGCTCCCAAATGTATTTATAACATTTGTAACGGAGCCACGTGTGGGACGTGTGTGGGGTTAGGGTGGTTTAATGGCTGCAAAGTAACCCCCAAGCTGCTGGCGTGGTGGGTCACATAATTGACATGCGGCAGCTGAGGGCGCAAATTCCTGTGCATTGTCTAAAGAGCTAAGCCGAAGAAGGCATCCCCCCTTCTACTAAAGGGGAGGGGGGGGGGGGGTTAAAACGACCACGTGTGCGTGTGTGTTCATTCTCTAATTCGCATGCATTTATGCCTGACCAGGCACAGGACACAAACCCAACCAAGCCAAGCCAAACGACAGGCAGGCAGGCACACAAGCGGGGGAGGGGGTAACTCTTCAGAGAGTTGCCCGTTGCAGTCGTTGTCCTGGCTACCAGAGCCTCTCGATAAACCCCGAGAGCAACCGCACCACATTGACAAGTTGTCAGGTCCTTTTGCCAAAAAGCTGTGTCCTTGCTGCTGCTGCCCGCTTGTTGTCTGGCTTAACTTTTGTTGTCCTGCGGGCTTGTGTTTATTTTTTTCAATACCCTATAATTGCTTAAAACGCACAAAAAGAGTTTTAATGAATTTGTGGAAATGCATGTAACAGTTAAAAAATAAAATAAGGCATCTCCGACTTCATCAGGCTTCAGACTTTAAATTTGTAATATGAATTCTTCTCTTTTCAATAGCAGCGCTCGCCTCTTGAAAATCAATAAATATCAAGTGTTACACAGAGTATCTTCTAGTCGAGCAGCCACAATCAGAGCACGCTTGTTTTCGACTTCGCCTGGCCACAAACTTCTGCCATGTCCTGTGTGTTGAATTTATAATTCCATTTGTGGTTTTAATTTCGTAAATGTGAAATTAATTTTATTCAATTTATATGCGAGGGTTGCGAAGAAAACAGATTATTCGATTGTTAGAGCTCAGACTCCTCCGGCTGCTCTGGTTTTGGGCTTGGGTGCGGTTAACGCTTCATTGACTCCCAATTGTTGCGCTTGAGGAGCGGGCGAATTGGCTTGGTATAAAAGTGCTAAGAGATTGAGCAGTAATTGAGGCCTGGCTACAAAACTTAAGCTCGAACACACACAAAAACCACCTACACAGGAATTTCATACTCTAGCGAGAATGACCATCGAGATGTAATTCCCGACGCGATGCTAGCGAATTACGTCGCGATTCATCCACAAGAGAGTTGACAAGCAATTCATCACGGGAACTTAAGGCCGAAACAAATATTTCACGTGTCGCCCGATAATTGCCGCAATTGTACAGATGTTCATTCTCCAGTCGCAGAAAATTCCAGATGAATCGTCGCACTATCTCACAAATGCTGGACAATGTCTTGCAATTATAGGGCAGTACCAAATCATTGGATACTAAATATAGCTCCAGCAGCCAAAAGAAACGTATCGAGAGATCCGCAACAATGGCAAAGTAGTAAAAACTCTAGATGAATGGAGAGGACTTGTGGAATTTTGGAGTAAGGCAGTTCAATATGCTTACCTTGGGATAGACAAGGCGTTCGCGCAAAAACACATTTCTGCCTTTCCAGACCTTAAACAAGCCGTAGTCCTGTAATATATCCCAGGAAGTACAGTAAATGGTTGACACGAACGCGCTAATTATATAGCCCCAAGTCCAAGGATTTTCAAACAACTGAGTATACTTATCTGTTGGAGAAGTTTAAATTAGGATAAGTCCATCAAAGATAGAGGATCCTCGAGTTACTCACGATTTGTCTCCGATTGTATGGTTGAGAGGATGACAACTATCAGCGTGGAGCCGTAGGTAAAAGCATTCACCAAATATGAAATTGGCTTGGCCTTACTATCCCAATAGCGTTTCAGGCACTGGGCGAGGCGAAACCAGGCGGGCAGGCAACGCAGCACAGGTACCACAAAGTCCGGCTCAAAATCAAAGGTATTCCCGGTATTGAAGGAGTAGCGAATATAGAAACGAATCAGCTGATAAAAGTCCACAATGCACTGCACCATTGAGTTCATCTGATCGGCCAGCCAAAAGTCCGCAAAGGTCACATAACGAAACGGAGCAGCCAGAATGCGTCCAAAACAATTCAAAACCCACATTCTAGCGGGATAATTCAGAATGGGTATGGGATTAATGAGTAATACCAGCGGCAGCACCAGTCCAATTAATGGAAAATACAACGAATCCTTGACACCGAATTCCTTGTAATGTATAAACATCAGCATGGACAGGGTGCAGATATAACTATAGAAACTGGCTGTACTGAGAAGCTTTACAGGGACCGTTTGATTGCGTGGATTCAGCTCAAAGATGAGCACATGATTGATTCCCACGCTCTGCCAAACATAGACATTGCCCACCAAGCAGAAACTATAGAGCATCAAGGAAAATGGACCCCGGTACAAACGAGTAAAGGTTGAGAACAGTTCCGGATTGTTGAACATGGTGTAGGCTGAAAAGTATGTCAAATGTATAAAACTGGTCAAGTAATCAATCAGTCAATCAAGTCATCAGCTAATCTCTCTGTCAATCAATCAGACTGCAATAAAATACGCTGTCTATCAGTAAGGCAACCAATCGGATAATCAATCAGATGATAATCAGAATCAATCAGAAGGTCAAACAATTAGACAATCATATAGCTTATATAATCCAATCTGTCGATCCTTCACGGAATAAGTTAATTTGTCAGCTAATCAGACTGTCAATCAGTCATCCTAGTCAGTCATCCAATCAATCAATTAGCTGCTCAGTCAGTCATGGAATAAGTTAATCAGCCAGTTCAGTCTCTCATGCAATCTGTCATTTAATTAGATAGCTAAAAATCAGTCAGTATATAAGTCGGTCAATCAGACAGTCAATCAGTTAGCTTTTCAGTCAGGTCAGCAGTCAATTCAGTCAGCTACTGTGTCAGTGGATCAGTCAGCTATCAGTTTATCAACTCAGTCATATTAACGGATAACCTGACACTTCCTTCACATATCAGTCGGTCAATCAGTCTGTCAGTCAATCGGTTATTTAGCTACTTTCTTATTCATGCGATAATTCAGTCAGTTAGCTGATCAGTATGTCAAGCAATCAATCATTTAAGACAAGCAGTCAGTCTGTTTGCCTCTCAGTCAATCAATAAGTCAGTCGATCATAGATACATCTTTAATTGTGATTTGTAATTACCGGATATAACGCACACTACAGCTGAGACTAGAAATAGGCCCAGCAATACGCCCGCCGAGAAGACATAACCCGGTGATGTGGACTGACCCAAGGGCGGCACTCGCAGTTTTTGCATTGCCTTGGCCCGATCACCATGAGCTATATATTGTGTGTATATATTCTCCACATCAATGATCATGTCATGCAGCTCATCTCCGTCCAGGCTAATGGAGGCGGTGTCCAGATACGTCCGAATCCAGCGTACACCAGTCGGAGGCTTGAAATACTTGTCACATTTTTCGCTCAGCCTGTAAAAGCCCGTGTAGTTCAGTTGCTGGAAATTATTGAGCAGCACCAGACTAAAGTAGAACTCGCTATAGGCGCGTTCCAGCTTGCGCACATTCCGCGGCTGATCGGCCAGTGGTGGGAGACCGGGTATAACGCCCGCAGGCTTCTCGCCGGCGTGAGCGGTCATGTAGAGTAGTTTGACCTTTAATGTGGCATGTTTGCGACGCGCCTCGGCCATTTTGTACTCAAAGAACTCGTTCACTCGCTTCAGCTCGGCCGTTAGTCTTGTGAAGAACTCATCCTTAAACTCCAGACAATAGACATCGTATACGCTTTTGTTTCTCGAATCGGGCGCATTCTCAACAGCAGTACGTATCATTGCCTTTAGCTCCTGCAGTTGACAGATAAAGCTATCTACCGATAATAATCTATGGCATTCATGTTGCATACTAACCACATAGTTGATGTATTGCTGGCGCCATTCACTTGTTAAATGACTCTCAAATGTTTTGCCGAATTTCATTTTGCTTTCAAACCCATTCGAAATGTGTACGTTATTGAGTGTAAAGTCAAATGTACAGCGGTTTTCCTTAAATTGTGCGTGCAACATTTAAAAAAGGAAGGATGCCTAAGTTTAACTATCCTGGCAGACATAAATTCAGTACGGCCGGCTCCTAAAGACATTTTTCTGCAACGTCTCACTTAGAAAGCTTTTAAACTGAGAGACTACTGTGCATAGAAACTGCCAGGCAGACAGACACATACTGATCAAGAAAATATATATGGATTGAATAAGCTCGAGCTGATTAAGTTCGATCTATACAAGACTAATCGGCCATGTTCGAGCTAATCGTTCTTTTGTTACGCCTTGGCGTCGATAACGGTTATATTACTCGCTCGAACAAATGTCGCTCGAACATATAGCTCGACCGAGCGGTTCGAGCTTCGTTTTTATGTACATCTTCGACTTGTTTATTCGAACGATGCTTGGTTTGAACTGAAGCGATTGAATATCCTAGTTCAATGAAACTGAAACACACTTTATGACCTTATAATAATACTTTCTGAATTTAAGGCAACCCTAATTAAGCTTCGCTATTTATTTCAAAGTATAATAAAATACAGTGGTAATTGATACTTATTAGTTTTTGTTAAACCAAATTCGATTCTGTAGCTCAATTTTGCTATACTCCTTTTTAGTGGGTCTTCTTCGGCAAATTGACCTGCACGCCACTACTTCTGTCGTCAATTTTCTCCGAAGGCTGACTCCTTGCAGTACCCAAGGGCTTTAGGAAAATGTCGCGGGTTGCACGAAACTTGCCGCAATTGAACAAATGCTCATTTTCCAGGCGTAAAAAATTCCAGATGAATCGTCGCGTTAACTCACACACACCGACAATAGTCTTGCAATTGTAGGGTATTAAAATATTATAGACAATCAAGTACAGCTCCAGGACCCAAGCGAAACGTATTGTTACATTCACAACGATGGCAAAGTAATAGAACCCCTAGAAAATATAATTGGCATAGGATACGTAAGCCCTTCGCTCAATTTTCTAGTCTATACCTACCTTGCGGTAGATGAGATGCTCGCGCAAAAATCGATTTTCACCACTCCAGACTTGAAACAAACCAAAGTCCTTAATCAAATCCCAAGTTGTGGAGTATACGGTTGACACAAAAGATACAGCCAAATAGACCCATATCCAGGGATTCTCAACTACACTGCCATAGTGAACTGCAGGTTAACCGAAGGTAAAAGAAAAAACAAGAGTTTTCAATTGAGTAGTAGTAATAAACGCAAATTAATTCTTACCACTCGTTTCCATTACAACGGTTGAGCAGATCACCACAATAATACTCGTTGCATACTTGGCGGCATTCAGGAGAAACGTAATGGGTCTATTCGTGCTATCCTTATAGCGTCTCAGGCACTGGGCCAAACGGAACCAGGGCGGCAGGCAGCGTATTATTGGTATCATAAAGTCATGTTCGAAATCGAAAGAATTGGCTCTGTTCGAATAGTAGCGCACATAGAAACGACTCAAATGGTAATTATCCACAAAGCACAGGGCCAGCGAGTTCAGCTGATCGGCCAGCCAAAAGTCCGCAAAGGTAACGTGGAAAAATGGTGCACTCACGACTCGTCCAATGCAGCGGATTAGCCACATTCGAGCTGGATAATTGAAAATTCGTATGGGATTGATGAGTAACAGCAACGGCACCACCAGAGAGATCAATGGGAAATTATAGGGCACATCGACGTCGAATTCCTTATGATGCAGAAACAGGAGCATGGAAATGGTACAAAGATAGCCCAGACCGCTAGCTACTTCCAGAAAGGAGGCGGGAGAAATCTGATTGCGCAGATCCACATCGAAGATCAGCACATGATTGATGCCCACATTTTGCCAGACATACATATTGATGGTCAAATAGAAGCCGCAGAGCACCCAGAATAACTGACCGCGGTACATTCGGGAAAATGCCTCTATCAACTCCGCTTGATTGTACAGAAAAATAACTAGAGTGGAGCAATATAAGGGCTGTTACTACTAAGATTGCAAGCCTATTTTAGACTCAAACGGTTAGAACTCGGTATTCCGTTTTTATTTCTAGTTTCTTAGGCATTATAGGTATTCTTGACATGAAAAAATAAACCATTAATAAAATATCCAATTGGAAATAAAGAGAAACAAAAAGCAAGCAGCATTGAGTTGGCCAGCAGGGTTAGAACCAGCTAGAAATTTGTTTTCGGCTTTCAGCCATGTTGTCATTAGAGAAGAGCCGAGAATCGGGGTTGAACCAGCACGAATGTTGTTTTTTATTTGTTTGCATAATTTAAGGCTTAATTTTAAGGTTTAATTTTAAGTTAAGCTTCGAACTAAGACCCAGATTTGCCGAGATGTGGAAAACCGAGTTCTAACCAGTGAGTATTCTTTATGGGGATAGTTATAATTTTTAAAAGGTTGACTTAAATTAAAATTGAATTAAAATGGAATGAAGCACAGAGTTCGAGCTAGATTCACTCATGTGGAAAACCGGGTTCGAACCGTGAACCAAACTTCCGAGAATTGCCTTTTCACTCACATGAGAAGATCACAATTATAGCGCTAACAATAAACAAGCCCAGCAGCACACCCGCTATAAAAACCCGAGCTGGGGACGAGAATTGGCGCAATGGGGGAACCCTCAGCTTGGCCATCGCCTTGGCCCGATCTCCGTTCGTCAGGTAGATCGTGTACAGGTGCTCCACCTCGGAAATCATTTGGCGCAGCTCATTCTCTTTGGTAAACGGCGCCTCGCTGACATATTCACGGAACCACATTGCACCCCTGTTGGACTTGATATATTTATCATACTTCTTGCATATCTTGCGAAAGGCCGTATAGTTCAAACTCTGGAAATTTTGCAGCATTATCAGACTCAAATAGAATTCGCTGCAGGCCAGGCCCAGTTGGCGGTTGTTGGGCCCACGTTGATTATTCAGCGCTGAGATTAGCTGCATTTTAATCTCCTCCAGCTTACGTCGCGCCTCGGCCAGCTTGTGGGCGAAGAAGTCCTCAACTCGACTCAGCTCCTGATGGCAAGTGGCAAAGAAATTGCGCTCGAAATTTTTATAATATGCCGTAACTACAGGATCAGAGGTTTTGTCACGCTCGCGTATATATCTAGAATCCCTTGCAACATTCACATCTGGCGCATTGTCCACGGCTTTGCGTATCATCGCCTTCAACTCCTATGGACAACAAATTATTCGGATAGATATATATGTGTTCGATATATGGAATCAGTTACCGCATAGTTCATATACTGCTGACGCCACTCGGTTGTCAAATGGCTCTCAAAGGTCTTGCCAAACTTCATGTTGTACTCTTTTTTTTTTTTGCAATATAGTTTGTCAATTGAATACAATTCCTTCCAAATATCAACACTATAATTATTTTCTTTAAAATATAATTTTTACAAAATGTTCTTGGCTTACAAAATACCTACTCTGATAAAAATGGATTGCCTGCTTTGAGAGATCGACAGCTTAAAATTAGGTCTTATTTCTATGTGTAAATAGAAAATTTAAATTAAACGAATTCCAGACTTTTCGATTGGAGCGATTTTAAAACTGTTGCTTGTCTATTGAAAAACTTCTTAATCTCAATTTCCTTTCGGGTTTTTTTTATTTCCTACATTATTAATGTTTTGGATTTTATTTGATTTTAATATAAATTGTTATATATTAATAGTGATTTTAAGCACATAGAGTGCGTCTCTTCAGGCGCCTTATATTACAAACATTTCTTTAATATTTTATTTGACAATTATACAAATTATCGACCACAATATAAGATTGGCTGGTTTATTAGAATTTTCTTGAATTTAGTATGCAATCATTTAATATAGTTGAAAACTTATTTTTAATGTTTTCCTGAATTTCATCTAATCATCTTGAATTTAGTATGCAATCATTTAATATAGTTGAAAACTTATTTTTAATGTTTTCCTGAATTTCATCTAATCATCTAATATAGTTTTAAGCATTTTTTTTCATGCTTGCTTTCTTTTTATCTTTAATAATCCTACTTATTACATTTATATCTTTAATGTATTACAAAATTATTCAATAAATCCCCGTAAATAAGCCTCAGATGCAACCGCCCTTTAATCTGTCCACTTATCTGCGTCGCATTGTCAAAACACTTTGAATACACTCCCCAACACAGTGCTCACATCTCATCTCATCCCAATTTCAGCTGCCCCTGCACAGTGTTATTGTCTAACAGCCCACGCAGTGTTGCAAAATTTTGAACATGCCTCCTGCCATTAGGTTTTCATACACTCTTCATAAAGTGCTAGAGAGTATATTAAAGTCTACGGAGTCTTCGACCATATGTAGAGGTGGTTAAATCAGATAAATTTGTATGTCCCACAGTTTGAGAGCCAGGGTCAGTCAATTTTGTTGGCAGACTACATAGTTAATGCTTTTTGGTTACAGTTTGACAGTCACTCAACACATAATCACGAATCGTTTTCCATCACTGTTCAGCTGTTTTCAGCCCATGAACAGGGTATTTTGCAGTCGGTTGCATCCGTCTTTGCTTGATGTTCCTGCTGCCGCTTGACATTTTCGCTTTTGTTTTTGTGGACAGTCGCCCGCTTCCGGGTTTTGGCTTTTATTCCGCTGCAAAAGCAGCCTCGAAGCGGGATTTAATACATTTTTTTCACATTCTGTTGAAGTACTCATTTCTGTGCGTGCCGCATGTTGAAGTGAGTGCGTTTTTTTTTTGTTGTCTATTATTAAAATTTGCAAAGAGAGCTTTAAACAGGCTGTTGCTAAGGGTTGGTTTGCTAAGCAGCCCCCGAAAACTCTTTAAGTTGCTGCCCGGCGCCATGAAGAAAACCTAAGAACGCACAATCAACGCGCAGAGCTTCACGATTCGATTTCAGTTGCCGGCAGTTAGTCATATTTCTAGTGGCAAACAAAGAAAATGGCATTTTAGTTGATAACAAGAGCGAGGGGGTCCGGGCGGGGGCAGGAAAATGTCGTCTACAGGCATGCCACATGGAGGGTGTTGCTTCTACCTCAACGCCAGCATCATCAAAGCGAACATTCATCTCGAATAACGTGAAAAATGTGAAACAATTGCAACGATGATTACTTTTTCCCCAGTTTGTTGTTGTTGTTGTTGCTGTTGTTGGAAAAATGGTCGTAAAGGAAAATTGAATTGGCAGTGGGCGGTTAGCAGAAGTTTCTGTTGCCCAGGGGAGCATTTGGCTAAGGCTGGAAAAGGATAAAGCGAGGATAAAGAGAGAGAGAGAGAGAGAGAGGGAGTGAGAAGGCCAGGTGAACCAAGTCCATAATTATATGCTAAATACTCTAGTAATTAACTCCCCTGGGAATTGGACTTAGAACTTGATTACGCTGTTGACTGAGTTTCACAACAAAATTTAAGCCATTTGCTTAAGAGGGGGTGGCAACTGAAATGTGCGGCGACAAAATTGGCAACATGTGCAAAATATACATCATAAAACTCCGACTACATTTAATTTCCGCCTGGATAAAAACGAGCTGCTGTCAGCAATGTGAGATCCATTATGATACCCAGTAGTGCTAGGCATGCTCAAGAAGGGTGTATTAAACACGGCTATAAACAGATTTTTAACCGTTGCGCTTCGAGTCTAGAATTCTTTTAAGTTTCTACTTTAAATGGAACTTAGAGCCAAACCAGTTGCTCGGAAATAAAACAGTTAAGCCTTAACCCGACACAATTCACGATTTTGATCTCAAATACTTATATTTGAAAATCGAATATTATGTAACGAACCTAGGCTCGAGCCAAACGCTCGATTCTTTAATTGATTCGAACCGCACGACCAAACATTTTTGTTTTGTTTTTTAAGTTTCATAATTGATATTTGATATCTAGGTTGTATATTCTTCAGTGAAAAAGGGGATACCTTTTGATATCTTGGTTAAAAAAAATTCTTGATAAATTAGAAGCAGTAAATATTATAAACTCCTTAAAGTTTTTATATGCATATTTCAGCGTGTTATTAAATTGTAAAAAAATATGTTTTTAAAAATCGAATCAAACTATTATTTAATACTAAAGAATGTATTTTATGTACAGGGTATTAGCTAGCCGCACACTCTCAACTAAAAGCTGCTTTTGTGTTTTACCAGCATAACGAAAGAAGCAAATAAAAATATTTGCATAGACAAACTGTTGGACAATTGGATAGACTAACGGCCAAGTGAGCATTGGCCGGGTGTAGATTGGGTGTTTTGTGGGTGCCAGGGACAGGTGGGTTGGGGATTGCGAGGGGGCGTATAAAATGAAAAGTAAACATTGCAACATTCGCTGCCATTGAAATGATAAAGTGCGCCGGCTTCCAGTACGACAAAAGGCAATAAAATGCATGCTTAGTATTGTTAGAGGGGAAGGTGAGGGTGTTGGTTGCGAGGAAGAGGGGCGGTGCGCAGCGAGCATTGTGCTTAATGGCATTAGTAGTTGGCTGCCAGTCGATGTGGTCCAGTTGCTCCACAAGCTGGAGTTACATGTGTGTCCGTCTGGCATTTGTTTTTTCTTTATGCGTCTGTGGCATGTGAATTGCTCGAGCTCGAAAGCCTTTCATGCCTTTTGGATTTGTATAAACAAAGATTTATTGGCTCTAGTTTAGTTTTTGGGGGTGCGCACTTTAAAAGTCTTTAAAAATAGTTGGGTTTCTCGAAGGGCGAAACTTTGGCGACGGCTTGACAAACGTTTTTCCTTTATGGCATTGAAAACAATTAAATTTTACATAAATCTTGAATTTCTTAAGAACTGTAAAATTATTTTCTATTTTTCCTCAATTTTATTTACATTGTTATTATTCATGCATATATTTTCCAATTTAATTGTTAAGCTCTTTGGAAGCGATTGATTTATTGAATGGAATATGCTTTTTTATAGAAAAAGTATCTAGTAAAAGTATCTTATAAATTCTTTATAATTTTTAATAAACTTTTTATTATGAATAAAGTCCTATGTGACTTATCTGCTTTTACTGAATCAATTATTCCATAACATAAACTTTATAAAACTCTCTTGGTGTCTCATAAATCTGCCTATCTTCCGTTTCCTTTCACCCGTTTGCAACTTTCATAGCCAGCCACTTGCAAAGTCACGCCTTCAATTAAAATGCCCAATTTAAGAGAGTATAACTCCACAACTAGTTTGTCTAATTCCAATAGCCATATCACGTAAATTGGACTCATATTTCGACAGACGGCAATAAACTTCAAAAAAACAACTCTATAAACTTGTAAATCGGGCAAGTGCAAAGAAATAGAGGCGCGCGCTTCGAGTAAAGCCGCTTAAAACCAGTAAGAAGGCTGTCTGTCGACTAAGGCCGACTAGGAGATACCCTGCATTCAGCTTCTAATTGCTGTAACAATAACATTAACTATCAAAAACAAACACAAGCACACAGTGTCTACTTTTAATATAAAAAGTGTATTCATCAATAATTTTTATATTTATGGGTTTTGATTATTATAATATTTTTTATTTTAAATTTTATAAAAGGGTTCGATAAAACATACTACTACACAAGAACATTCATTCGTAAAATAGTATAGAAGAAGTTAGTAATAGAAAAACTCTTTCTAATCAAACTATTATCATCTCAGAGATTGGCTTAGTTATTGATGATAATCAAGAATATATGTTGTTATGCATATACATTAAGCACTCGAAGCAGCTTATTATTTACGCCTGTTACACACATATGCAGAACTGCAATATACCCTATTTTTGCCCATTTACAATGTGTGCAGGGTATCAGAAACAACAAATTAAACAAGTTTTGTTCCAATCAAGTGTAGTTGCCCCATTAGAAACTTAAGTTGCAATAATTAAACAATTTTCCAGCACTTGTTATTGTTGTTGTAAACTCTCCTTGGGCGACATTTCATGTGACACGATGCAGCAAAAATAAATGAGAAAAAACTGTGGAAAATATATTGCGATAATTGCTTAGTTTGTTAAATTGCAGCGATTTGTTTGGCCAATAACTTTTGGCTAACTTAATTATAGTTGCTGTTGACCTCGCGACTGAGCATTGAACTTCAGCTGCAACAGTGCTCGCGGATAGTGGTGGGGGTTGCATTCAACAGGGTGGGGGCAACTATTTATAGCCGGCACAAACGACAACAGACGCAAACACGCTTGCAGCCTGCAAGTTGCAACCACCCCCAATGCCAACACATGACAGCCAGCTGTGCGCATCGAACATGTTCGCTACAGCGCAAAGCCAAGGCGCTTGCAACGGGCTACCGGCAGCCAACAACCAGCAGCCAGCAGGTTGCGTTGTGTTGCGTTGCGTTCAGTTTGCAAACGCAACGCGTCGAGTGCGGAACATATAAAACGTACGCGCGTGTCTCGCCGGCAATTTTTAAGTTGATTTTGTTTGTTTTTAGAA